TAAAGAATCAAAATGAACAAACTACTGGAACACGCAGCACAGGTGACCGTGACTCCCGAAGACAAGTGACAGACAAGCACAGGCTGAACATACGAACCTATCAGCTGCAGTTAGTGACTTAAAGATGAGAGTGGGAGTGGGCTAAGGGCAGGAATGGCTGTAAAGGGGCATGACAGAAAATACATCATGCCTACAGACACGCTTAAATGAATTCACGTATTTCCAAAAATAACATTTTATGTGCATTATCCTTTAATAGGATAACAGTAACAACATTTCAAATACAACATAAAAACAAAACAAACAAGAAAAACACTGTACAAGGGAATGTATTCAGAAGAAAACATACTGGTTACTCAACCTGATGCCAAATTTTAAAAGGGTACCAGGTCTGAAATTCACTTATCAAATACTTTTCTTTTTTGGGGAAGGAGATGCTCAGTATAAATTTATTTTAAATTTTATAGTTTTGACTCAACATGGATTGCAATAAATGGGTCTCCAGTCGTGTTACTAATAGAAAATTGTGCAGTGCCATCACCAGAAACATAGACTTTAATTCCTGTGCAATTGCCATCAATTTTATCTCCAGAAATGACATCACAGTATGTGCCAGCAGGGAGAACAGTTTGTAAAGTTGTTGACAATGACCCCTCTGGATGATCTCGTCAGTCTCAAATTTGTTAGCTATCCCTTTGAATATTTCCTGTTGTCATATGCAGAGAGTAAACTTATTTGAAAACAAGTTCTTGAAAATAAGCTTACTAATAATGAACTCTCAAGTCCTTCAATAAGTGATGTTTTAAAGACATGATAATCTATTTACACAAAGAGAAACAAGTTAGGTATGGTAGTACACACCTTTAATTTAAGAAAGTCAATTATGATCATTTTTTTTTAAAAAAAAGCTCTCTCAGGGTAAATATTTTCAGGGAATAATACATACATGTGAGATCAGCAGCAATGAAATAAACTTTAGTCAGAGGACTGAAGCTATATATTAATATATTAGTATCACAATCTAAACTATAGTGGGTAAAAGTGCTCTGTACTATCAGCTTAAAGTTATGTTCATCTTAAAAAGAGCCACAATTTGTTATGTTTTACAGCACAATTAGAGACACCTGTATACATAAACCAAGGAATACATTTAAAATCTTTTTACAAAAGTTCATCATATCTAGAACATACCATTTTTTCTTCATATGTAGGATCTGGTTCTTGAACTTCTTTTTGCTTTCCAGGTGATGAATCATCAAACACTTCCTGGTAGGAAGAGAAAATACAGTTGTTTAAGAACTGTCAACTAAATAATATATTCTTATTCCATATTCCCTAGGAATTTAATGGCTGTCACATAACCTGACATGAAACTTGATAAGGATGAAATAGAATACTATAGGGAAAATACTTTTCCCAATTAGAAACTGCTGCCATGATTAAAGTATTATCAACAACACCCTAAAGCAAAATTACTTTCTAGACAAGCCATATGGGCAAATCTGTATCTTTTGGAAAAAAATTATAAAGATAACATCAATGTTCCCTTTTTATCATAAACTTCTATCTATCTACTGTGCTATTACACAAATGTACACATGGAAGGCAGCATTAGTCACTGATTTCCCCTATCAAGAATATTACCAAACCAAGGGAGCTTAATTGAATATTCTTAGTCTGACTCCTAGTTAGTAATAAATACACTCAAAACACAGTCATAATGACAGTCAAATGCCACAAGCAATGACAAAACCTCCAACCTAGTCTACATTACACATTAGAGGTAAAATACACCCTACAATAGTATGCGCTTTCCAATTGCAGACATTAATTCTATAATTCAATGTCTTCTTTTTCTAAGTACAAAACATATTTCAGGTCATCAGACACATCAGGCAAGTGGACTTGACACAGACGTAATTCTGATTCTAACTTCAGTTAAGTCAATGAAAAGCAGACTGAAGGTAATAGTCTTCAAAGACAATAAAAACTACAAGATGAACAGAAAATGAGTGAAGAATAAAATTGAGAAAAACAGAAATTATTGATATTTTACAATATGTAAAATTGTCAACCTTAAAAAAAAAAAACATGTCACAGGGCAAGGTGTGTAGAAAAGGCTCTTTCTAGAACCAGATCACAGTTCTACCCCAGGCTCTATCTAGAAGACTCGGTTTTCTCATCTGATGAACAAAAATACCACTTATTTTACACCACAGGTGTTATCACATTCACGCTTATAGCGACTCAAAAATTATTTTCATCTGGGTTTTAAATTCTCATCTTTAGGACCCGTAAATAGAAATAACACCTATAGGGGAAATGTGACTCCAAGTTACAACAACAAACAGAATTAGCAAAGCTATGGTGAACTAAGTGCGTCTCCCCGGGGAGAACTGCACATGTAAATATAATTTCCTTCAGTGTCATTGGTGCCCAGACTCTGAGTAGAAATCCAAGAATCCAGTTAAACAGTCTCAGAAATTCAAAAGACCGTTTAA